CGTCGTATCAGTATCCGGATTTAGACATTGCTAGAGTCTACGCCTCATCCAACCTGCTTTCTTGTATTTAGCTTTGTAATCTATTTACTACAACGCGATATGCAGATTCGTTGTAGCCCGGTCATTGGGGAACTACAGACTGCGAAACAATTGGTAGATCGACGCAGCGAATGACGCCATCGCCGGGTGACGGCCCGATGAGTAGTAGATCTTTCGGCTCGGCGAAGAACATTTATCTCACCTCCTACAGCCATGGCGGCGGCTTTCAGATTGCTGCATTTGCCTGTCGAACTCGTCCTTCTCATCCTCGAACTTGCCCAGCAGCTCTGGCACGATGAGATGTTCGCTGCGCATGCTCCCTATGCTGGCGTCCGACGCAATCCGCCCCCATGGCCTCCTCAGCGCATTGACGACGTCGCAAGCTGCTGCAATGGCACGGCATGGGATCTCACTCGACCCATCTGCTTGAGGAAGGCTGCCCCGTTGCGGTTACGGTCACCCGCCCACCGACTTTCGCTCACTTGCCACACCCTGCGCCGGCTTCTAGACAAGAGGGGCGGGGATATGTGGAAACAAGATAACGCGCTGTTCAAATCGATCACCCTGCGCAAGTCGGCAAATAGTCTGCCTTCGCGCTCGACCCTTGTGGCGGTGAACGTCTGCGATTGCTTGATCCCGGTCATTGAATCGACGCACCAGAATCTCGCGGCCCTGAAGTTAGCCTTGCCCTGGCATGACCACCGTTCAACCATGCATCGGTTCTTCAAAAAGTGCTGGGGGAACAAGGGTGGTAATTTACGACTTATCGACGTCGAAACGTACGAGGAATCCCCGCATTACCCAGTGTATCCCTGTCTTCAAATGAGAGCGGTGCGGATCCCAGGTCTCGAGGCCAGCCGTTCTTCTGGGGGGAAACTCTACTACAGTTCCGACTCCTTGACTTCGCTCTATATCCATCACTCCCAGGAATGGAGACCGCGCTATGGTGCAGGATTGTCCGAGGCGCTCCGGGCCTGCTCCTCTACTCTGGAGTATCTCACCATTGACGCAGGGGGAGCTACCTTTGACGAATTGGAGCCGTTCAGTCTGCCTCAACTTCTCTACTTTCGTCTCGCGGCACCGCAGAACACCGGTTTCATTTTCTTGCGCTGCGCTACTCTTCCGAACTCGGTGGATTTACATCTTGAGCCAGTGGTGTCTTGGCGCAAGAAGTCGCGCTGGTTGTCGCGCGTCCGACAATCCACGCCGTTGGAAGTCGATTTCCGCGAACTCAACAGAGCGGGAGAAGTGCCCAGAGAAGCCGAGTTGAGGCAATACAGCTGCGCCCTTTCTGCGCCAGATCTTCTACCGGCGATATTCTCAACAGCGGTGGGAAGCGGGAGTGCAGGGTCTGAGCCTTGGCTCGCGATGAACTCGATGGGTCTAGATGTGCGCATCAGCCCTGATCTTGACCCCGAGCTCCCGGTCGCCGCGTTCCTCCCCGAAGTGGTCAGCGTCGCTTTTGCATCGTCCCAAGCCGGGCTGCATAGTGTCTTGGAGGACCCGGCCGGGCGAGATTGGCGACGGAGTCGCGAGCTAGTGACAGCGCAGTCACCACGGCGATCCCTCACGATTAGGGACAGCTATTGCGCCCGGCGCCCGCCGAGGCACGATGATGGTGGAGACCGGGTCGATCCCAGGGCGTCGGAGCCCTTCTCGCCGAAAGCTCTGTACGACGCTTTGCGCCATGTCATTCATGCTGCTCTCGAAGCCAGAGTGAACGCCGACTGGGTTGTCCAGGAGCTCACATTCGCCAAAGACTCCTGGCTACCAGATCGATCGCTGGGGTACGCGCACATCCTAGACGATTTCAAAGGCTTGCGCGCCCTCTACTTCTCCAGTCCAGTTCTCGGAACCCACGCAAAGTTTGGTCAGAACAAGGAGGGGGCCGTCGCGTTCTCCCATTTGCACGCTTTGGCAATTTACCTCAACACGCCATTCCGGCGAAATTCATACCCGTGTCCGCTGCTCGAGAGAATATGTTTGCGCCACGACAGCGCCACAAGGGGCTTGCTTTGGGGTTCGGCAACCGACCTTGCCTCGATGCTCAATTCGCCTGGGCGATTGAACGCGGGAATCGCCCACATCGCTGTCGTTTTCGAATGAGTAGGAGGTCAGGAAGCCGGCAGTTTTGGAGAGGCAGGCCCTTGTGAACGTCTTGTGTCTCTTGCCTGAGGTTGAAAATGTAATTAAGTTGCTCTCCCGCTCACCATCAATGGCACTAGTTGCCCCGCGTATGTAATTTGATTGGCCTAAACTCCGGTCACAGTTCGTGACGCATGATCTTTGCTTGCCACGTCAGTCTCTCGTCTTCAATACCGTCCACGATGATGCAGGGCCATCGCGAGGCGCTCACCCCGGTCTTCATGGACTTGGTCGACGACGCCATCATCGAGATCGTCTTATGGGCCCAGATCATCTGGTGGAAGGATACTTTCGCCGCCCATGCTCCTTATTCTGGGGTCAGTCGATACGGCGTTACCGAACCCTCCTCAGGTTCTCCCGAGCAACAAACCCGGCCGCCGCTCTGCTGCAGAGGCACGAATTGGGAACACATGCGGCCCGTCTGCATCAAAGACATAGGAAACACCCGTTATTCTCTGCAAAGTCCGGCTCGCCGCCTGATCCAAGTCAACAAGCGCCTGCGGACTCTGCTCTGCGCGGATAACTCTGCGATTTGGAAGCTGGATAACACCCTACATACGAAGGTCTTGAACCCCCGTGGTGGACGCGCGCCCTCGACTCAGGAGGGAGCTCAAGTCGATCATGGCGGCGTTGGCGTTGGCGATGGGGCTTTACTGGCCGTGCACGTTTGCTCCTGTTTGATCCCAGCGATAGCTCCCTTCTTCTCCCGACTTCAAAAGGTGAAGATTGCGCTGCCTTGGTGCGACCTCGGATCGAATCGCGCGAACGTTGAACAATTCATCACGAAAAGGCGTGGTCAGAACGGCAGCCGCCTATTGCACGTCGATGTCCAGATCTACAGCGCCCATGCTTTCCGCCACCCCTCGTGCGCGGACTGGGTGATGATCGCCGTCAAGAGCGAAGGCCTCGAAGTCAGCCGTTTTGCTGGTGGCCTCACCTTCTATTATTCCGACACGCTTGTTTCCCTCTACCTGTATCAAAGCTACGCTCGAAAGGTCGTTTTTCGCTCAACGTTGTCCCGGGCACTGAAGGCTTGCGCGAACACCCTCAAATACTTGACGATTGACGCCGGCGGCGCGTCGTTCGAGTCCCTAAAACACGTTCACCTCGCGCACCTGCGGTATCTTCGATTGGTGGCTCCTGAATATGCTGGGAGTGACTTTCTGCGTTCCCTCAGCCTGCCAGATACCTTAGATGTGCACCTCGAACCTGTAGTGCAATGGAGACATTTGTTCAGATCTGTCGACCAAGCGGAGGCTACATTCGAAATCCCCTTCGAAATCGTGGAGCTTGAGGCCGAGAAATCTGACGCTTGCGAGTTCTCGCAATACGCCGTCGCCCTGGCCGCGCCTAGTCAGAGCCGCGCCATCTTTCAATCGATGCCGTTTTCTCCTTTTCCTCCGCAAGCGACGTGGAACTCGCTGCATGCTGCTGGGTTGGACATCCGCTTGGATCCCCTGATTTCGCCAGACGAGCGGGTAGCGGGATACTTCCCGGAATTCGTGGGGGTCGCCTTCGCTCGCAGCGCCGAAGAGTTGCAGGCAATCATCAAAGATCCTGTCGGGCGGGACTGGCAAAATAGCGAGCCGCCCGACCACAAGTCCCATGCGCGTAGATCTCTCGTCGCCCGGGACGGGCAATTTCTCGGCGATGAGCGGGGATTGGCTCAAAACTCTGCGTACCCCAAAGCGCTATACGACGTTGCGCGCTATGTGATCCGTACGGCTCTGGCGGCAACTGAGCGCACAGCGTTCCAACTGCAAGAGCTCCACTTCGCCCCCGGCTCCTGGCTCCCCGACAGGGCGTTGGGGTATGCGCATATCATGGCGAGCTTCAAGACGTTGCGGTTGGTCAGGTTCTGGAGCCCCCCTCTAGGAGCAGATGTTCCATACAAGCAGAACATGGAAGGATGTCTGGCCGGTGATCACCTTGCGGCCTTCGCTCTCTATCTCAATACTCCCCAGGAAGGCCACGAGTATCCTTGCGCCCTGCTCGAGCGGGTGATTGTGCCGGTGATGAGAGGACTCGTGAGCTCTAGCTTGGGTGGCCGAGATTGGGAGGAACTCATCAATTCCACTGAGCGTCTAGCTGCCGGTATGCCGCGAGTTCGCATCGCATTTGTAGAGGGAGAAGCATGTACATAGTTACCTTGGCCCCTTTGGCGAACAATCGCTGTACATCGGATGCCGCCGGTGGCGCAAGCTCAGCTGTATGCCTGGACTATTAAATGTTGCCAGATTATTTCAGAACAATTGATCTCCTGCAGACGTATGTAATCGATTCGCATAGTTATCATGTATCATTGAAGAAACGCTTTACAACTTCTCTTGTTTCACCTTCTCTACACGTATGACGGCGAGGACAGTACGAAAGGCAACCACTACTCTTCTGAGGAAGAAGAGGCGGTCTCGACGATCGGA